GCTGCGAATATTTGTTTTGTTTTCATTTATTTTTTTTTATTCCGTCATAGGTTCACATTATCAGATCCGACGACTAGAAACCAGAAACTTGTTTATTTATTTATATTAGAGCCATTGGTGTCTGTTGGATTTAAAATCAACCCACTCCGAGTACGTATTTATTTATTTTTCTCTATTACATATACCGTATTGTGCTATTAGTGTTTCGGCGATGATCGGTGATTTAAGTATTTTCCAGGTCTAAGGTTATTGTCGAGAATTATCAGCGCACTCTCAATGCCTTTTCTTCTTAGTCAATACTTTTCTCGAAATTGAATTCTATGGAGCTCTTTTTCTTTAGTAAAACTTTTGATTTCTTTAAGACTTTACCAAAATCTTCGTGCTCTAAGTTGACAGATATTAATTTCACTGTTTAGAAAAACAGATATGTCTACTCAAACACTTGTACCCATAAAATAGCACATTTATAGTCAATGTCTACCATTTCTAATCCGAATATCCAAAGTTCGAAAAAAGGCACTTTTATTTCATGGAGTGCGAGTAACAGAAAGTGTGCCTGGATCCTGATGTAGCGGTATAAATTGTCCGGCGGTACTGTTGGTGCCACCAGAACTTCTGTACCGTCATTGTCAGTTACACATCAACGATCACATCTCCAAACTGGCATTTATTTTTTTATTCCAATTCCAATTTTCTTTTTAATTCTACAGTGAGAATGGCAAAGGAAAGAAGAAAGCATTTTACATTATTGTTGTAATTTTATCTCATCCTCGTCGCCAAATTGTTGCAACCTAAGAAAGGTTACTGAATAGAATAATCATACGCAGGTTGGTAATGAACGATAATACTTAGGACAAGAACAACACATATAAGATTCGCCAGCGTCGCGTAGAAGAAGTAGTCAACTGCTCGAAGTGAGACAAGTGAATTCCACAATGAATCTCCAGCTGCACGATGTCTACCAATCACCCCACGCCGTCAGATGTGGCACAAGGCCGAATTTAATGTGGGGTATCCGAGCCCGTAGGCTCGGCAAAAAATTCCCCGTAGACCCCTTATAAAATGGGGTCGGGTTTCTCGAGACGAGATTCTGTCCTTCGACATAGCCTCGTCTGGGGATCCTCTCTGCCCGGAGGCAGAGTGTTTGACTTGCACAGCTGGAGACGAATTTCCAACTGCAGGATATCTACGCGGTCAGATGTGTGGCTCAAGGCCGTACTTAATGTGGGGTATCCGAGCCCATGTGTTTATGAAAAATAATTATTCCAGTACTACATTATTTATTGGGGAATTTTTCTATAAAGTCGAGTGTTATTTAGTGTCAGTCATATTTTGTCCTGGCTATAGTTAAACTATAATCCGAAAAGGTCTACAAACTGAAACATAGTTGGCCCCAAGGATTTTGGATTAGGGACAGTTTACCTGTAAAATATATATTTATGCATTTGTGTGTGTGTGCGCGCGTGCACGGGCGTGTCTAAATGTACGAACGCACAACTACAATATATTACGACTTCAACTGCAAAAACTTTAACATAGTAATTTGTTTTTTTTTTATTCTAGGTGATGATTTGGTTTGATCATAAATCCTTTAATTTTTTTTTTAAAGCGAAACGTTTATCGGACTGCAAAGGGTTGGCCAGTATACAAAATGTTTCCCTCAGTAAGTTTTCCTTTGCCTGACAAATATAATAATAAATAATTAATTCGAATGGAAACGTTGAAATAAAAGTGCATTTGTTTGGCATATTCTGGGATATAATTGTCAGGAATAATTTTCAAAATATGCATATGGTAATAAACACAGGGGAATCCAGAGATTCACTTGGATAATATCCCATTTTCATACAAAATCTTTTCATGGAATTTCAAAAGTACGACGTCCTTTTAGATGAAAGTGATATGGTTATACTTTAAAATGGCATTGAAATGTTTTTATTGCGACGTATTCTTTATCAGACGCATGTCTTCCAACTCGAGTTTATGCAACTGATAAGCACGTCGGTCTGTTTTGAAATCATCAAACGTAGACTTATCATGCAATTTTAGTAAAAATTCCACATTTCAAAATTTACAGTCTTATCTGATACATTTAAGGTTAACATTACATATGTTAGGCGGTGCATACAGTGGTGTGATGATTAACAAATTTATCTTGAAGACGATTTCGCAAATGTCTTGAGTTCAAGCGTCAAGACTGTCCCACTAGTGTGACCTTGTAGCAGATTAAACTACGCTTAGTCAATGTCATATAATAGTAGTCAGAGGTAAGGAGAGTTGGTCACTTCGATGTAGTGTAATATTTAGCAAGCTTGTCTCGTAAGATAAATTAGAACTGAGTAGTGAGTTCGATCCCCACTGGATACCCCACACTTTCGGCCTTGTGCAACATTTAAGCTAAGCTTGGAAAATCATTTAGGCATTCCGACGTGGTATAATAGTTAGCAACTTTTCTCGTTAGATCAATTATGACTGAGTGGTGAGTTCGATCCTCACTGGGTGTCCCGCATTTTCGGCCTTGTGCCACATCTAAGCTACGCTTGCTAAATCGCCATAAGTAAGGCGTGTAATAGTATTTTTTACAGTTCCAAAAACAAAAAGTAATCGATAGGACTGTTTTATACTTTTAGTTATCGTTAGCAAATGTTTCAGGAAATCTTTTCAATTTATGTGGTTTTCTGCTCGTTTTTCCTTCTTTCTTTCTTTTTTCGATAACTGCTGCAAAAATACTATTATTAGCAACCATACCTATTTAGTAAAATGACCAACAATACATTTTATCTGTAGTTGAAGGCATACAATTGCGTTAAAAATATATTTACATTAAGCCATAAAAATTGTGTTCAAAATATTTAGATTTCGCCATTAAATAAACCATAGAGTTGTTGATATGCAGCTAAAAATTAACCACCCAAACAACAAACATGAAAAAACTTTTTAATGACATTAGTTCATATAATATCCTGAAATTTCTTGTCCTGGGTATGACGATAAACTAAATCTGGCAGCAAGCCCTTTGTTCGGGCGGTTTTTGAGTTATTCCCATGTCTACTCTGACTCGGGGCGGTTGCACCTGTTAAAGTTCCAGCTATGGGCAAATAGTTAACCCCCAAATTGGGGTCAAAACACCATGAAAGTGTAAAAATAGTTTTTTATAGCAAAAATACCAGCAATATATTTTTGAAAAAAAAATTGACTCCCGAAAAAAATCCTTTTTACAAAAATACGTCAATGAAACTATAATCTATAAACTGATTTCTTACAAAGAATACATTGTATTCATACCAATCTATCCTAAAAATCGTATCGGCATTAAATAACGCATTAAAGTGTTGATATGCTGTAAAACAAGATAAACCAAACCAACCATAAAATTTCTTTAAGAAATAAAACTCTATTCCAAAATATAACTTCAACAAAACTACAACATAAAACACACATATCACCACCTCTATTAATTATGTCCACACAAACCTGTATATGTATAAAAGCTGAGCATCATTTTCCATGCATTCAATTATGAAAACACACACACACATACACACACACACACACACACACACACACACACACACATATATATATATATATATATATATATATATATATATGTATATATTTCTTCAAGAAAATTAAATTTCGGCATTAAATGACCCATAAGAAGTTGATTTGCTGTTAAACAGGCAACTCAAGCAGCATGCTGGAACTGAAAACTAAACACTAGACTTAGATGAGCTGTGTCTTTTGACTAAAGCCATTACCGCTATTAGCTTGAAAACCTTTTATATAAGTCTTATATGCGGGGAAAGTATATTGGTCTTATTCCAGAAAATAAGTACAGACAAAAAGTAAATAAAATTGAATATTTAAAAACAAAACTATAAATTTTTACAGTAGAATTATTCTTTTATGTGTTGTGTCCCTTCAGGAAGATGGTGATCATGGCTCTCCACAATTCTCTGTCTTTTGTAGCTCTTAATAAATTTTGATTTTTTGTTATTTCTCCTAAACCTTGTTCCGCCATTTATTTACTCAAGCCTGTTCGGTAGGTTATGCGTTGTTTTCCTCTGTCCCCCTCTTGTCTTCAGTCTGTCCTGTGGGTATCAAATTTTCTAAGCTCTTCTTCCTTATTATGGGAAATTTCAGCTGCCTCTTTATAGATCTAAAATGATAATTTTATGAGAGGACCAGATAAAAATATAGAATGAAGAATCTGTCAAAATTAACATCTGGTTTAACGCCCCAATTTTTGATATCTGGTTTGACTCCCCAATTTTTGATATCTGGTTTGACTCCCCAATTTTTAACTTTAATTTTAATTTTTTAGCTCTCCAATTTGTAACGTCTGGTTTAGTTCTCTCTGCTTGATGTACGTATATGTGTTACTTTTGCTACATGAGTTTTGTCGAGTGTGGTGGGATATATGTGTACGAATGCGAGAGTAAGTGTGAGTATGCGTATGCAATGTTTAATCATACAGACATATCTATGTATAAACACACTTAGACGTAAATACAGATATCCACATACAAACGAGTATTGAAGATTCTATAGTGATTTACTCTACATAGCATAGATGACAGTATGGAGCACGTAGTAAGGATCGAACTCACTACTCAGTCGTAATTGATCGAACGAAACAAGCTTGTTAACCACGTCGGAATACCCATGAAGATACTGTATGTATTTTTTCCATTGTACGTTTGTACTGTAAATATTCAGACTTATATGCGTTCTCATGTGTTTTCATACTCATAAACAAGCATAAATACAGTTTTACATATACGCGCACATACAGTGTGTGTGTGTGTAACTAGTATGCGTATAAATGATGTTTATGCATAACTGCTACAAGCGCTGTCAAACATCATTGGTCATTTTCACACACACACACACACACACAGACGTTTTGCGTCTCTACCTTACTATATGCGCCTGCTTTCTTTTCTCCACTTACTGTCGTCGACCCTCGCTCAACATTTTTTATAATCCCTCCTTAGCCATCTCATCGGTGACACCAGTAGATACCCCACTTTCCCTAAGCCCTTTTCCAACCAACAGTTTCCTTCTCTGCCATGATGCCTGCTCACTTCCAGGCGCACATATGCTGATTGTGATATTCGTCACACCGCTAGCATCACCAGGAGACTTGATAACAGCTCGCAATCTGAGTGAGGAGTTAGGGAAAAAAAAAAAAACAAGAAATAGAGGTAAAAAGTGGAAAGGATGAACTTTGGTGTTTGTGTGGGGGGGTAGGTGTATTACGAGAGATGGAGGAAAATGAGGTTTGAAGTTTACCATGTAAGTAGAATAATACATTACTGTCGAACACCTCGCCACCCTATAATCTATCATCTCTATCTTAGGTTACCTGCTGCTGCTGCTGACGCTGCCGTTTAAGAAAGAGAAAAGAGGGGATAGGAAGACCAGTGGGTGTAGACGGTTAGGTCTCGCCACTTCACATTTGCCACGGAGAGAGTGACCAGTTTTTTGATTTTCTTGTTTCTGTTTTTACTTCCAAATATTTCCTTACGTCTTATTTTTTTTACTTTTATCAACTTTTTCGAGATTCCAGACTTTTTTCTAACTTGCATTTTTTTCCTTATTTCATAGCATTCCCATCTCCCCCCCATTTTCTTTTACCTTTGTTTCTTTTTCCTTCAATTATTTTCCTTCTTACCTTTTCACCTGTCCACTCTACCTATCTGCTTCCTTTTTCTTTCATTCATTACTAATTTCCTTTTTAGGAGATAAAAATGATAAAAACCAGTAGTATGAACGATTTAGAAAGAAACAAAAGTCGAATGAAAACGTCTTTTTGACATTGTTAATTAGTCACAATGAATAGAGTAAATAATTTTCCAATAATTGTTAAAATAACAGACATCGATTTATTTATTTTTTTAAGACAACATTTTTGTAAATAGAGATGCATGGAGGTTGATGTTTACTTGATGTTTTTCATAATAAATAAATCTCTTGAAATGTTCTTAGAACTGGGCATGTGTTCGATGTAAAATAAAAATGTTTATGCATGTTAGTAAACGTTATGAACATTTACTGAAGAAATGATATCAGTGTAATGACTTTGATAAACTGGCATATATTTTTGGTTGTTCATCAGTCTTTTGATCGCTAGACTCTGTTGTTAAACGTAAAATATTTTGCTTGAGTTTTGTCAACGTTTTGAAAAAGAAAATCCAACAGAAATGGTTATCGCATTCATCATTTGGTTAAATGCTGTCCCAAAGACATACTGACTATTGTCAATAATCAGTTGATAGTCAACCACTTCAGCTTCCTGGTGAATGAAAACAGTTCTATTACAGTCTTTGCACACTTTTTCAATACTGGATAATTTGAAATAACACTTTAGTAATAACCATATTCAGAGTTTGTATAATTTTGGCATAATTGGGGATAGGTTTAGTGAGAAAAATCCATTATAGTCCAAAGATCTTGGTAAATTCTTAAAATATTTTGCATATGGAAAATATGCCAATTCATTAACATATTTATCGGATAAATTCTTCTTGCACTCACGAAATAAGAAACATCAAAGGTACATTTTGACAAAGAAATTTTCAAATTGTTTTTATCAAAAAATTAAAAAAAAACTCTCGATTATTTTATCTCCATTTTCATCTTCAAATATACTGCTGTCATGTAAATACACAAATAAACACTCCACAGCAAACATTTTATGTGTGTACTGAGCAAACGTTGCTGACATGATTTTGAAGACATAAGCGGTCTTAATTCTTGCTGCCTAAGGCATATAGTACTTAACCTGGCATATATGCCTGGTACACTTAGCTGCGTCTCTGTCTTCGGACAGAGTGCGACTCAATTGTGGCTCCGTCTACCGACAGAAATGCAACTGAAGAATATAAATACTGTGAGGTACCCCGTCCCGGCGAACACATCTCCAAGGCAGCCCCCGCCTTGCACTAAAGAGAGGGGAACTGTAGTAGCTACTGATATCAGCGCAACCGACTTTTGTCCTTAGTCCAGGTTTACGCTCTCGCTCCCCGCACGTTAAACCCGACCTTGAGTCACATCCCAGGGTAAATAACCAAATAGTAACACTTTTATCAAGTGAAGTGTGTGTTGGAAATTTTAAAAGTCGATGAATTTAAATTTGACACCGAATAACGATTGCGTGATTGTTAAAAGGAACGTTGCACTTTTGAAACAAGAACAAAAGGAAATTTTTCATTCATTTTCAGAAAATATAACTTCGGAATTCTTCATTTTAGATATTTTTCTCTTCGCGTTGTATTTAATTTTTCTAGAATTTTGTCTACATTTGTTAAAACCTGGAATATGACTCCCTGTATTTTTTCTTATGATTGATTGCACAGTATTTCCGGTTGTATTTTCTTGATGTGACGTAACACTTGGAAAAAAACAAACGTCGTTAACAATTAAATTTATTGAAAATAAACATTTGTCTTTCTTTCTATAACATTGTCTTGTGTAATAATATTTTTACAGCCAAAAAATGATTACTGACATCGTGTATCACGAAGATTCCAATGGAATGATAAATTTAAACAAGGAATCCTAATTTGTATTATCATTTGTTCTTGTCATTTTATTTTCTCATCACTGGTGAATGAGATTGCTATGGGAATTGAACCGAAAACAATTCCGCTCATTAGAGAAATTGGTAAGATAGAAATACTAGAACCAGTGCCAATAAAAATATTTCGATAGTTTAAAAAAAAATTCAGAATTTGCGCGTCGGTCGAGGTTAATACAGACCAACCAATTAGTTTTGCGCGTCTCTGAGAACAGAGGTGGTCGAAGGTGGTTGAGAAAAAGGTAACATTTCACTGGGAAGTTGGGTGGTCGGGAACTGGTTAACATTTGGATGATACTTTCTTTTTACACCCAGATGCACCAAAGTTCTTGCATTTTAGCAATAAAAATGCAAAAACATGAAGTTGGTTAGACTGAAATTTGTATCAACTGACAATATGAAAGTAGATGACCCCTGTTGGTTTCATTTTCAAAAACATTGACACAAACTCAGGCAATGTATTCTAAGGGAATTGATAGCAAAATGTATAGAAGATATTCATTATTGTCAGCTCATTGAAGGTCAACGTGTGGTTTTTAACGACAATATATGACACATTTCATAGTATAAAACCCAGTAAAAGAGAATGATCAACAAGGACTTCTATCAATCCTTCCAAAGTACATTGTGCATATTTTAGTTAGAACATTGAAGCAGAGTGATCAACATTTGCGTCGCAAATGGATGCTTGTAAACTGTCAGAAATCACTGCATTCAATCTAGTGACGAAATCAAACCAGTTACTAATTTACTAGTATTTTCAATTTTGGTTAATAATTCAATGATGTGAGATGTATTGAATTTTAGCCTAGATTTTTTTATAAAACCAAAAGCTTCGAGTAAAGCTAACTAATAGCGTTCTTTTATAGTCGGATCATGTTCTTGAATTATCAATAAATTAGGTAAATCTGTAAATTGTGTGTAATGACATTGACTAAATGCATGAACATTCAATTTTGATCTTGAGATCAAAACTCCCTTTACCAATAGAGACAAGAAAAGCAGCTAGAGATCAAATGACCCATTAACGGAAACTACATGTCAGAGATCTCTATGACAATATGTTTGCAAATCCTTTACTCCTCTAAACTATGTATAATGACATTGACTAAATATATGAACATTCTCTTTTGATCTTGAGATCTTGAGATCTAGAGATCAGAAGACATTTTACTCATAGAGACTTGAAAAACAGCTAGACATCAAATGACTCATTAACTGAAACTACATGTCAGATTTCTCTATTTCAATATATTTGAAAATCGTTCACTCCTCTAAACTATATGTAATGACATTGAGTAAATGTATGAACATTCGCTTTTGATCTTGAGATCTAGAAATCAAAAGACCTTTTACATGAAAAACAGCTTTTGACAGCTTTTGACATGAGAAACAGCTTTTGATCTTGAGATCTAGAAATTAAAGATCATAGAGATAAGAAAAACAGCTAGAGATCATTTGACTCAATAAGTGAAACTACATGTCAGCTTTCTCTATGTCAATATGTTTGCAAATTATTTTCTCCTCTAAACTATGTGTAATGAAATTGACTCTATCAAACACATTTCCATTTCTATGTACATTTCAAGTAATAATACTTTAATATGAAACTATTCATCCTTAAAAACTGCATACATATCTACAGGAGGACGTTAAAAACTGACCTTGTGTCGCAACCTGACCTATTGGGGGGGGGGTCAAGTAAATATCCATACCTACAGTAAGCGATGGATAAATTGTCGCCATTTTATATTTTTAATTTCGCTTATGCGATTTTTTTTTGATTTTTTCGACTGCACAGCATAATAGGTTCAGTTGGGCATCATATGTGAGAAAAATTTGCGCTATAATGCAATTCTCTCCACCAGAAATTTGGAAACGGCATGCCGTTCTGCTTGGCATTAGCACCGGAAGCCCCAATACGAACATTTCAGAATGTTTGTCAGTCTATGGACATAGGAAATGATTCGGAAAGAATTGGATGAGTCTAATGGTGATTACGAAGTTGTTTGGAGTGATCAGTAGTGATGGCGCCGTTATGACTTCAGGCTCTACACAGAGGCCTACATCGTGCCTCGAGGCGGTGTTGCTTCCCTGGTTCAAGAGGGTGGCAACAGGACTCTGCGCCATGCCGCACAATCAGGAGAACCCAGTCATGTCTGTCAGACAATTTCTGAGACCAAATCACCCCTTGTATATGCTAACCTAACTCCCCAGACTGCAACCCTCTCAATTATTATGCGTGGGGTGCAGTTGTGCATGAGACCAACAAAACTCTTTCTAACATCAAATTTAAACTGAAGGCAAGAATTATGGCAGCATTCACCAACTTAAGACGACCATCCAGAAGTGTTGCAGGAGATTCCGAAGTCGTCTGGAGGCCGGGGTTGAAGCCAATGGTGATTTTATTGAATAAAATTACTTTTTAGTATTTCAAGATATTTTTGTGTAATTTTGGTAAATATATCTGTCAAAATAAGATGTCATTTTTGCGTAATTTAGATGATAATTTATTCATCGCACCCTGTATACATAAAAAGTACTTGCAGATTTGAATACTATTACAATTATTGTTGAAAGTTTATTTACTATATCAATATTACATTACTATATTGTGACTGACAAATTATCAACCCGGCAATAAATATTAGTTAGACAACCGGTACTAAGAAGAAGATCCTCGACTCAGATTTAAATAATGAAAATCATGAAGGCAGAATCAGAACAGGCTTCAATCCATAGTGGAGAGTTATTATTACATTCGTTATTTACACTGTTTATAATCGGACTATTGTATTTGTTGTTTTTTTATCACAACGTTTCGATCTTACTCGCCCGTTTCCATTGAGTGGTTTCTTCCCTGGGGTTCGATTAAACAGCCCTATTTCTTGCAGTCGTCTACAAACTGTCTGTCTTGACACATTAACACATGAGGTACTATTCATAACCCTTTTAATTTCTGTACAAGACTTAAAACGGTCCTTTAATGACATACGCTGCATTATTCGATCTTCTCTTGCCGAAGTTTTGCGGGGTCTGCCGGTTTTAAAAGCACTAACTATTTTGCCAGTATCATTGTAGGATTTAACAATAGCTTGTCTCACAGAGTAATCAAGTTTTTGGCGTTTCGCCATGGTGCCGGCTGATGCAACGTTTACAAATGACTAAGTAAGACTTATTCTTTAGAGGTAATCAAAAAATTTGAATATAGCATACTGTTTACATTGTTTTTCTCAATTTTGTCCCTTACTTTTGGACGTTCCAAATTTGAAAATAAATAAATAATTGTTATAATTCTTTTTCTATCCTTTGCAAATGATTCAAATTTTAGTATGTTATTATGGATGATAACGACTACCAGTTGTCAAAATTCCAGCTTTTCACAGTTGTTATTTCTAACAAATATTAGGTTTTAAAATTTTGTCCCTTAGTTTTGGACTGCAACTGTATATATATGTATATATATTACAACAAAAACATGTAAGAATCATTACACAACTGCAGTCGTGTTTCAAATGCATAATAATATATTGAACCCTCTTTTAAATTAAATGTTACGAATGTTGGAAGTGTACTCTATTCGTTCTCATCGTACCTGTATATATATATATATATTGGTAAATTGTATGAAAATTTCGGAAAAATATTTAGTCCTACCGACCGACATAACAAAATTTATTTCTGAAGGAAGAAACGCGTCACACACACAGTCACACACACACACACAGTCACACACACACACACACACATATATATATATATATATATATATGTATATAAAAGTATAGGGTTAGGTAAATGATAGATATAAGCGACCGTATATATGTGTGCTGGCGTGCATATATAATTACCACATTTAGCCAAGGAGTGTAGACATAATAATGCACAATATGATAAGATAGAGCTAAGAAATATATATTAATAAATATACATATACACACGTTTGATGTGCGACTCGAGTTTTGTTATTACCCAATTCATCGGGCATGAGATATCGCTGGCCTGATGAATTGGTTACAAACGAAACTCCAGTCGTACATCAAACGTAGGTATACGTGTATTTATGTGTATTTATTAACACACACACACACATATATATATATATATATATATATATATATATATATATATATATATATATATATATATATATATCTGAATGAGTACGGTGTTTATAAATTAATTGCAGAAATACTTTTAATTATTTAAAAATTTTTCTTGTGTTTTTATATTCGGTTGTGCTTCTTTGTTTTGATATTAGCCCATTTTCTTTTTTTTCTTTCTGTTTTTTATTTATTTTTAATTTTTGGGGGTTTCTCCGCTGCATACACCCCCACGTATTAGTATTTTTAATTACCATTCTTAGAATAATGACTTTGCCAAATCCAACCGCAGGCCAACATTGGATACGCTCCAATGAATGTTTAGAATGTCAACAAGACTTTTTTTTTCCTCTAATCGTTCTTTCTGTGTCTGTCTTTTCATATTTTTGTAGATTGTTTTAGATTTCAAATTATTTTTCCTTCTTTCTTGTTGATCTTTATTGCTTCGTTCTTCTTTTATTCTTCTCGCTTTCTTTTCATTCTTTATCATTCCTAAATTTAAAGAACTTTCCTTTTCTATTAATTCAAATAGACATATACCACAGTTTTTATAACTATACACATATCATCATCATCATAATCGTCATTCTCTGTCTGTCTGTCTGTCTGTCTGTCTGTCTGTCTGTCTCTCTCTCTCTCTATATATATATATATATATATATATATATATATCGACTGGAATTCGAGGAGAATTAAAGCTATGAATTCAAACCACCCTGGATAGGGTTGGCCTCCGACAGGCGAACTTGCAAATGAGTTACTGGACTCGTAATCGCGATATATATATATATATATATATATATATATATATATATATATATATATATATAGAGATAAAGAGAGGGACGTCTTATTAAGACAAGGATTGCTTTCAATAAGTTTTTTGCGATTTTCTCTTTTTTGCATAAAGATGATTAGATTCAGTGTGTGCACAAATTAGTCCATACGTGTGTTCAAACTGTTTCAACCACCATTGATCGTTGTCAAGTATGAATTATATTATGATTTTAAAAATCAACAATCTTTTGCTGTATTATTTTTCTGTGGTTGTAAATGCAATCGACGTTTTCAACGTCATTTGTAAGTCGCTTATAACAAATGGAATGTCATTTACAAATTGTTAATTACTAAGCCTAATTTAGTTTGGTAAAAGGACATAAGTATCACGCACCCAGTGAAGACCGAACTCACTCACACAGTACTGGCTCGAGGTATCCATGTTGAGTTTGTATTTATTAATTATTGAATATGTTTAACAACACAGAGGTTTCAAGACTAACGGATTTTCTATTCAATATATTTTTTGCATCTATAATGTATGTGGTGATTAATATAACCTGCTTAAATAAAAAGAAATGACCACCACAATATAAATATTATGTATGTACATTTCTAGTGCATTAGTGTTCACTCGTGAATGAATATGTGCTTTCTACATGGGCAGATCAGTCTTGCAGGTACACATGCACTTATATGCACACGCATACGCCGAAGCACATATATGCGCCGGTATGAATATGCTCAGGCATATACCTACACATATATATGTATTTCTATAAAATATATATACTTGTATATTTTGATTACTTTCTTTTAGTGAACACTTGTTTTTGAAACAGACGGCGCTTTTTTTATATTTTAAACAGAGTATATTATGTCTACCGGCCTGTGTACTCAAGAAAACTTAATAAAGAAAATATCTTCTCAGACAAGCTTTGAAAAAACTAACGTTTGAACTAATAAAAATGTTGGATTCAAAATAAATCTATTAATTCTCTAGAAATTGCTTTGTTTACGTTTCGAATACGAAATCAAGGAGATATGAGCATTTGAGAAAATCCGAACGAGGAAGTGTGCCTTCCTTAAAAGGGTAAATAGAACATTGCTGGGTGGGGAAGCTCTCTATGACCGAGCGGGCTAAGGCACGTCGGATAAAACGGTGGTTTCTTTTGCAAAGTGTGTGTGGGTGTAGTTTCGAACATTTTCTTCATTAAATTTTCTCAAGTTCGCAGGCTGATAGGCGTAATAAACACGGTTTGAAATTATAAAAATGAGGCGTCTATTTCAAATAAGAGTGTCCACTAAAAATAACGTTTGAATTAATAAAAATGTTGGATTCAAGATAAATCCATTAATCCTTTAGAAATATGTTACACGGAGATTCACTTAACTCTGGGCGTCTGCAGTGGCAGAGTAATGCTTCTTCACAAATTGTTTTCGCCGAAGTGAGCTTATCTAACACTTGTAGCTTTTTTTTCTGTAAAATGACTAAGCAAAGAAATTTAAGGACACAAAAATCTATGACCACGAAACTTTATTAAGAAAGTGATTCCATAATGTTCAATTCTTCCCAGAATCAACCATTCGCCAGAGAATATCAAACTCGTTAGTACCTGTCATTCTGCATATTCTTGCAAGTGCGAGTGCGTGCCTGCACACACACACACACACACACACACACACACACACACACACACACACACGTGTGCATTAAGTGGCTTTCATATATATTTGCATATTGCCCAATATATCAAACTGTGAGTGAGAAGAGATAGAAAAAAAGGAAGGCAAAATTAGAAAGTTGGAGGATGAATGAAAAAGAGAATGATACAAAGATTTAAAGAAAGAGAAACGAAAAAGATATCTAGGAAGAGGGAATACTCGGAAAATATACTGAGGAGAAAGATAATAAAATAAAAGAGGAAAAATCAAAAGAAATTAAGAAAGAAAGAATGTTAAGAATTGAAAAAAGAAATAAATGATCCCTAAAATTTGTGAATAAAGAATAAAGTAGATGCAAATTTAAAAATAGACTGCCACGCGTGGAATGGAGTCAAAGAAGGTAAAGATAAGGTAGAGGGAAATGAAGGGAGAGAATTTGTTTGTCTTAAACAAAGAGACTTGAACAAGGGAGGGATGAAGAAGAGAGCAGGTGAATGGAAAGAAGTTGGGTGCGGAAGAAGAGATTCGAATAATTATAAAGGAACGCTGGCATGATTTGGGATCAGATGAAAAAGAAGGCAAAATGGTACGAAAGAAATGGGGGCAGCAGAGTAAGAAGTAGTAAGAAAGAGAGGAGAAATTGGAAAACACGGATACGAGTGAGACTGGCCGTGTCAGTGGGGAAGTCATTTTGTAAAATGGCGCAGGAATCGAAAAAGAACAGGACGCTGGTTTTGTGGGAAGGAAAAGTAAAAAAGAAAAAAATAATTAAAAAAAAATAATAGTCATACTGTCGTTTTGAAACAGACGACAACTTGAACGCCATTGTAGATGAGTGTGGCTCGAGGCAGAAACAAGTGTAAATGGCTGATAAAGTATAAGGAGACATATTTAAGTACATATGCATGCCGAGATTTTACACGAATATAAAATGTTGCTGTAGAAAAATGCGAAGCGTCATTGTGCCAAGGAAATGGTTTATTTGTCTTGAAAATTAGTTTGAAATGTCGAATTTTACTTCAACTTGAACTTGCTTCATAACGTAGATGAAAATAAAAGAGGATGATTTTTGTAAGCAAAAGCGTTTCCATCCCATCACACACAACACATACAATATATATATATATATATATATATATGTGTGTGTGTGTGTGTGTGTGTGTGCGTGCGTGTGGATATATAGAACAAGAATTCTCTCCCTCTCTTTATATATGTATATATATCCAAACAGCTTTTGCTAAATTCAAGCGACATGATCTGCCTATTTAATTTTTATTGTAATTTCCACTTTTCGAATAAGTTTTTACCAAATTTACAACCAGTTCTTGATAATCACTGAAACAATCCAAAGTTCTTGAACAAAATCGGATAAAAAGAAGTTTGGGAAATTAATCCAGTAGATATATATTCATACATTGATAATGTAGACATATATTCAAAATGTTCAAATAGATGTCGTGAAAGAGAGAGCGGAAAGAGAGATCAGTTCAGTTATGTGACATGCGTGATACACGCTTAGACGATTATGTATATTTCCATACATGACTGACGAGGCAGATTTTTTCCCGTAGTAGGTTGCCATTTCTTTCTGCGGTAGACCAGTTGCCGGTCTGTCCTGCTATTTACCCATAGCTTGAGGGAAGAAGAGGATTCATACCTTTCCCAAGGGTATTAGTAAGTGAATGTAATGTACTCGACTGGAATTCGAACTCGGATCGATTCCTCAATCTAAGCCGCTATCCATTACACCACCGTGCCTCCACTTAGGGCTAGAAACTTTATAAATATAAACAATTTGGACACAGAAATCAACACGACAAGGTGACTGGCAGCTTGACGCCTTAAGCAATCTGATGATTGCTTAAAAGGAGAAATTCTTAGTTACCAAGCAGTTTTGATTTATGTGTATACACACACAAGCGCGTGCGCACACGGAGACCACACACACACACACACACACACACACACACACACACACACACACACACACACACACACACACACATATATATATATATATATATATATATGTATATAGATAGATAGATAGATACACAATGGAGCGATGAAATAATATAATATAATATATAATGGACTCTCCTGTCGGTTTCGACGTATGAGGATCTGACAGCTTAATTGTTTCAGTTATGACATTTTGTACGATAATCTTAAGTGGCATTTAAGACCCGCTAGTGATTTACAATGGAGGCCACATATGGAGCAAGAGTGAGGATTGTGGGATGAGATCACTGTTAGATTGGCTGACCTTTTAGATTTTGAAGACGATTGAGACAAGCAGATTGAAAACTCCTGAGTCCACTAAAACACGTTGATCTCCAAGGCTAAGCGCTCAAGGGTGTTATGTGGTATATTGACAGCTGACAAGTTGCTCTTCAGCTTGTCTTTGTATCTTAGCCATGGGCGTCCTACATTCCTGTAGCCCTGATCTAACTGGCTGTACATTAGGATCTTGGGTATCCTGTCATCAGACATTCTCAAGACATGACCAGTCCATCATAACTGAGACTGTATGAGAAAAGTCTTGATTCCTCCAATATTTCACCTGTTAAACAGATCTACGTTGTCCTTATCTTGAAGCTTAACTTCACAGATTGCACGCAGACAGCTTTTATGGAAAACTTCTAGCTGGCGCATATGGTACCTGTATGGAGTCCACGACTCTGAGCCATACAAAAGGATGGCAAGCACAACAACTCTGTAAACCTGAATTTTCGTATCCAGTCGAATACCCCGCTCATTCCACAAGCGATGGCGAAGTTTGCCAAAAGCACTGGTAGCCTTAGCAATCCAATGCATGATTTCATCATCTAAAGTTCCACTATAGTTGACTTTGCTACCAAGATAGGTGAAAGACTTTACATAGTTCAGGGCTTTGCATATATATATATATATATATATATATATATATATATATATATATATACCTTTCTGTAACAAGATTTCATTCAAACAAGACATACTGAAATGGACCAGTTCGTACGTAAGTTGTTGACAACGCAGATCAAATTTATGACACACAGGCGCACTCGCGCACACACATTTGAACACACATACACAGACACAGAAATATATATATTGTTTAAAGCGTGCTGTATTTGTAGGGGAAGAGAGTGCTCAATATCGAAGATAGAACGTTTAGGGATCAACACTGCGTGGTGACTGTCAGATTCCGTGCGATCTTGAGGCCAAGTTTTATGTGTTTGCGTGCGTGTGCATATTGAGTGACTGCCTGTGTGTGTATGCCTGCACGTATGTCTTAAAAATAACATGTCTAATTTGGTGATAAATGATTGTCTTCATGTCTAAAAGAAAGAAAAACACTGGGGATGTTGTCCAGGGGTGGACATAATACAGAAAGCATCAAACATGAGTTTTTTTCTTTTCTTCCACACACGCAAACACACGCACACGTGTGTGCCTTTATATTTGTGAATGTGTCTACATATATGTATGTATGTGCATAAGCATACGACTAAGAAGTGTGATGAAAAAGTTTCATTGTTGGATTTTAATTTCAGGTATATATAACTCAGTTTGTAGTTTCCTATAGCTAGTTAGCTAGCTAGCTAGATAGATAGATAAGAAGAGAGAAAGAGAAGGGAGAGACAAAGAGAAAAAATGTGTGTGTGTGTGTGTGTGTGTGTGTGTGAGAGAGAGAGAGAGAGGGGGGAGTGCATTTGTATGCTTTAATATATAGAAGCGTAAACTTGTGAACTTTTATGTGACACAAATTTTTCAGACCATGTGCATTGATTCAGAGCATTTTAAGCGTCCGGTGTCTGCGCACATCGATAACTAAGGGGTCATATACAGGTGGATTGGCTGAATGGTCCTGCATAACTTTGTATGTGTGAACATAGTGAGATGTGCGCGTGCGTGATAGAAAGCCTGTGCGCGTGCGTGTTTCAAACAATCCCTCAGTCTCTTTTCACCTTATAATTAATTCTGTGTAAGCTGAATTTTCAATACTTGGGGCCAGTAGCTTCATCGTTCATGTGTGACAGGGAGCCTAAGATGAAGAAAAAGTCAGGATAGAAATAGAGAGGAAGAAAAAAAAAAGGAAAAAGTCAAGCAGAAAGAGTTGGTGGGGAGGGGGAAAGTGATGGAAAAAGAGACCCGAAATTTAAAGAAGAGAAAATGAAGTGAAAATGAAGTACATGAAAAAATAATTTAAGAAATAAAACTTGAAAGAGAAGATCGAGAAAGAGAAAATGAAAGAGGAGAGAAAATCAAGTAAAAAAAAAAGCGTTAATGGAAGTAGGAAGGAAAATAGGGATGAAAAATGACCTGAAAGAGTTAAATGATAAAAGTTTGATAATATACCGAGAAAAGAAATTTAATAAATAAGAAAAGAAAGAAAGAAATAGGAAGAAAACAAAAGATAGAAAAGTGAAGAAGAGAAAGGGAAAGAAAAAGAAAGAAAACGTGAGAAAGAAAAGGAAAGATAAAGAAAAAAAGAAGAAAAAAATCTGTGAATTTTTTGTTCCTTTCATCAGCAGTAGTCGTCATCAGTTGGGTTCACAGTGATGTTCACTCCAGGCACGTGCAGAAATGCAGAAACGTGTGCTTCCACAGATACAAGCACATGCATATAGACATGCAGTGACAATGTATAGAAATATTGAAAAGATAGTTATTCAAGCACGTTTGAACAAGTATCCTGAGACTGTGCCATTGTTATATTCCAATAGCACACATTCGCGCGTGCGCACACACTCGCGCGTCGCACACACTTATATATATATATATATATATATATATATATATATATATATATATATATATATATATATAATTGATGTATAGTTTGGGTTTAAAAATCATCCGTATTTGTCCGTCGTTAATTTTAGATGCGTCATCATTTATATTACTCTTTCTTTTCACATATTCACACCCCCAATTGCAAATGCCACATTCCAATAAAATAAGACAAATATACAGACTTTTTCCTAAATAGAATCTCAACTCTATAGATTTTAATTATAATGATTAAGCTAACCTGAAGCGACTAAACGCAAAAACTTTTATGCACACTAACGTAGAATTTACACCAATATGCACCCTTCTTCGCCAACACATATTACACACAGACACACCTGCGTACAAAGCATTCACACGTGTTCACCGACATTTGTGCACATATAGATGCATTTACAGCTAACTAGCATACGTGCACACATAGAGCGTACACATCGAGACGCAGTCACAAATTTAGTTTGCACGCACCCGTATATAAATCACGCACCCGTACATACGCAAATATAGACTCGTGTGTGCCAAAAGAAAAAAAAAAGGGTGGTGGGGGTATTTGACATGGCCTCTTCTTATCTTTCTCTTGCTTGCTTTCAGCTTCGTCATCATCGTCGTCATCGTCATAGTCGTCGTCGTCGTATTTCGCAGAGCCCTAAATCACTCCCACTTCTCCACTCTTCTTGTTCACCTTTTGTTGCTCCTCAACACCTCTTCTTTTTCTTTTAGCTCTATGATTTCTTCCTTTCTTCCACCATCAACTTCTCTTTCTTGTGAGCAGTAGTAGCAGTAGTATCATGGTCCTGGCAGAACCAGTGCCATCGCCTCCACCGCTCCTCTACGCGAACATCAACAGCAGCAGCAGTTAAGCTGTACCAAGCTAGAATCGAAAAAGGCGGACACCCCAAAATAATCAGACACGAGGAATTTTATCCGTTTATCTCGTGCGACAGGCCATTGTGGACTGGCTAGTCAGCTCCGTGGTCAAAGCGCCCCTTTGGCCAGAATCTTCAACTTTTATTCAGACTCATTCCGCTGGTTTTCTACCTTTCACCCAGTTTTTCTCAGGGTTTTCAAACGTAAAGAAGACGACGTAGGAATTAAGGTAAAAATGTGCCTTTTTATACTTTTCTTTCTTTCTTTCTTTCTTTCTTTCTTTCTTTCTTTCTTTCTTTCTTTCTGATGAAGCGAGAGAGAGAGAGAGAAAGTGATTCACTTATGAAAACGCCAGTCCTTCCAAAAAAAGACAAACCGCGATATTTAAATGTTTCCGTGAAAACTTATCACTTCTTTTTATTTTTTTTTATGTTTCTTCCTTTATTTCGCGTATGCCTAACTCCCCCAAAAGGTACCCATACCCGACACAAACACGCACATACTCGTAGGCACACACACTTACATACATGCTTTCAAGTGGTACACGCAAGACAAACGCGTGCGTATTACAAATATACACAAGAAGCTGTTTGTTTGATTTGTGTATGTTGTTTTACAATAAGATCTACATGCAAGGCTTATCAACACTTGCACATGCAACTGGATTACAAGATATTTAGTAATGCTGGTGTAGTCTGGTGCAAGATCTGATTCGTGGAGTACTCAATGATTCGTGAACAGACAAGAGCTAGCTAAACATCGCTCTAGGGTAGGTACCCTACCATATACAAGGCTTATAAACAAAAGGAATATGTTTTGAATGTGTACGAAAAGGACGTATGTTTTGTTATTGTCATGTAGTATGTTGTTCGTTATTAACCCCCAAAGATTTTTGTATGATTTGATAAAATATTACTGTGTATGTCGTTCCATTTTTTTTTTTTTTTTTTAGAGTTTTTTGCTAAATTTCTGTTTACACATTTTTCTCATGCTTGGAAGGCAATCACTTTCATTTTCATCTTTCTTTAGTAATACTTACATAATCATTTAAGATCATAAGAAATAATTAGAAAATGCATATTGAAAAAAAAAATGAACGCTGTGGATTTTACAAGTATACAGGCATTTTGTCTTCAGCGACTATCATGTGGGTAGTTGTATTCATGTGAATTATAGGCGCGAATTCAAATATGAATGTAAAAAAATAAAGCAACACATAAACAATATTTTCCTTCAAGCAAAAAAGAATTAAAGAATAGTTTTACATTTTTGTCAGCTAATAAGTTATTCAAGAATTAATGTTTTATCTATCTATCTATCTATCTTTATATATATATATATATATATATATATATATATATATATATATGTGTGTGTGTGTGTGTGTGTGTGTGTGTGTGTGTGTGTGTGTGTGTGTGTGTGTAAATAAATCATGATCCAGAAAAATAGAGATTGAGAAAGAATTTATACGCTTGTACGTGTTCGAGATAATAATATTTGGGATATTTTGTGGATGACAGTGTGTATGCATTTTAGTGCATATCCGTGCAATATTATAAAGTTTATTTGCGTGTAAAGATGCAAGTGTACTTTTCTCTATTGGAGTGCGTGGCATGGTGGATGCAGTAAGCAAACGGATCCAAGTGAATCCTTAAGTAATTGTAAGAGAATCACACCATGTGCTAATTGTTTGAGTGAAAGGCGCACGTCGTATCATTTGTTGAAATTTTTAGACGCGACTCATCCGTTAGGAGAATTTCACTTCGCACGTCTTTCTGTTTATTTATCAATGAGTAAGGCATGTATTTATTTACATCTATCATCTGCAATAATTTCATGTTTTCTTCACTAAATGCGCTTACACGCACCTGTGGATACGGGATTGAGATATTTTGTAGAGCGTTTTACGAGCACAGGAATTTATCCTTTGATGTTCGCACATGGATTTAAACTTCAATCAAATCAACTTTTGCTTTTTTTTATTTATTTTTTATTTTTTTACAGAAAGGGATGCTTGGAGCTCTCATATCACAAGCTATTGTTAGTAAGTTATGTTGTCGCTGAATGAATCTGACAGATTTATATGATTTCAACAATTAATTACGTTCGGCATATAATTTTTCATAGATTTTCCGAAGCTCTCAGGCAAAAATGTCTGCTACCAAGAATCTGAGAGATATACAGGAACGCAGAGAGAAACACATATACGCACAGACACATGCATACACAAACACACATGAGTATATATATATATATATATATATATATATATATATATATATATATATATATATGTGTGTGTGTGTGTGTGTGTGTGTGTGTGTGTGTGTAAAGTGAGATTAATAATGTGTCATTGATTATGGAGGAAAATACATAAAAGTTGAAAATTATGCCAAAATGTATATATTCCGTGAATGTATACAGAAATAAGTGTATATGCGATTGTATGAATTTTATTAAGATTAGTTGCTCGGCGCTAACACACACACACACACACACACACACATATGTATGTATGTATGTGTGTGTCTGCTGAGAGAGGGAGGAAAAAAATGTAGGTAGTAAGTGTGTATGTGCCTCTGTGTGCGTGTGCGTGTGTGTGTGCTGAGAGTGAGAGAAAGAGAGAAAGAGAGACGAATATAAAATTAATATATAAAGAAGAAATATATGCCTATTGATATATAGCCATCTTCTTAACTATACACACACATATATATGTGCGTGTGTGTGTGTGTGGGTGTGTGCGCGCGGTCGTGCTCGCATGCGTGTGTTTCAAAGAATGACATATATATGCAAGAATGCGTAAAATCATATATTGGACAAAATCTTTTCCCCAAATGATGTAATTTCGTATGTATCCCTATGTAAATATTTCTAGGTCAGCTTGTGCGTCGTTTCTCTGTATGCATCTTGGGAAAATGCAAGAATGTATCGTCAACACACAGAATAGAAAACAATTCTCCATGCTTTTCATTACTAATTCTTTTTAGCTATATTTTTTTTATGAAAAATCATCACCGACGAAATATCAATAATTTTACCTCCTTTATCCTTTTGAAATTTGCATAACAAAACTCTTTTTGTATTTCAATTACAAAAGTAACCAATCAAAAATATTTAACAACAATGATTGCATCTATTACAGGAATATCCCTGCTGTTACTGATTAAGGCTGCTATTAACAACTTTGGCGTATATAAATATTTCTTTAAATGATTAGGGTGCGTAAAAAAAGTGTATTAATCCGAGTATTTTTTTCGTTTTTAGTTATGGGAAAAGCAATTAAAAGAAGATGTAATTGAATGATTCGCCCATTGTGTTAGTGCCTCTTCATTGGCTGAAGTTCAATGTTTATACTGAGATACAAATTCAAGGACTGGAACTCTCTCTCTCTATTGCATAAGCCACAACATATAACATGTGAGCGTTTTCGTGTGATTAAGTGCAAATTGGTCTGCTTAAAAGCGGACAATAATGTGTAGCTGTGCCTTATCACGTTTCCTTTTCTGAATGAATATGAAACACGCACGCACACACACATATAAAGACATTTTTATGTTTAACATTCTTTTTATAGATACAAGTATTTAAGTAAATGCTCTGCTTATAATAAACAGTATTAAATAACATTTACCGGCCTGAATGTCCGAGAAATTTTCATAGAAAATATTCGTCCTCCGACAGGATTCGAACCTGTATCCTATACGGAACCGTCATATAGCCTAACGTGCCTTACCTCTTGGCCACAAAGTATCGTTCGGGTGGCAAGGTCGAATTTACTGCTTATAAACTTCAATTTTCCATGAATCTCTCACGTACCGAGAGGTTAGGCACGTCACGCTATATGACGGTTCCGTATAGGATGCAGGTTCGAATCCTGTCGC